TAAATGTATGTTACTTATTTAATATGAAAAAGGGTGTCGTTTAATGAAAAAATAGAGAATATTCAAAATATGGCGAAAGGAAAGCTTATTTTTCTGAAATAAAAGGAGACTTGAGACAGAATAATGAGATATATATGTCTTAGTAACGCTTCTTCTTGTATAAGATAATCAAGTTGGGAATGCTATTATATGCATGATGCGTCGAAAGAAAGACTTAATTTTTTAATAAAATCCAATGGCAGAGGTAATCAAAATTAGCCGCTTCATTCTGGTTAAACGTTCTTAGTAAAATAGTTGGGTCTCATCCTTACCTACTTGTTCACAAGGCTAACGAACCAACAGACCAAGCTCCGAATAAAAGGAAACAATATTTCAAACGGCAGATTATTTTTACAAACGACTTAACCTATTTAATCGGAATTTTACGACAAACTGGCAAATATCTGCTTCAATGTCATGAACTTATCTAAACAGCTGGTTTGTTGACATCCATAGATTTTTCATTTATTTCAATGCATCCCCGATAACAATATATAACTTAGATTAAGAAGTATATTCATCCAAGCTCGTTTAAGGTGATGAATAAGTGATATTTGATTTTTTATCTCAAGATATAAGTAGGCCTCTCGTTTTAATTGAATTTCACTTGGCCTTGCTTCTCTAAACTTATTCTCACCCAGGATTGACTGCAGTTCCTACCCTTGTTAGGCTTCATCAGCACCGACAGAGAGGCTCGAACCCGAGTGGTGTAATGTATAATTTCGACACTTTCACGACTATGCCACATTTCCATAAGCACCTTTGAGTCACAGGGCAGACAAGAATTTCAAGGGAGACCAGGCCTTTTTCACATCACCATCTTTGGTGCGATAGTCGATGAAGCAAAGTCATATTTGCTATTATTTTCGATTACATTACTTATTTTCGTTTTAATTAGGTTTTCAAAGCATCAGTAGATGCTGAATAAGAACTGTATTTATCTTATTTTGTTTAAGATCGAAACGACAGTCAAGCTTGGATGAGAATATCCTTTAGAAAAAAGGCTATGTGAAACTCAATGAAATCATAAAGTTCATCCATATTATTGCGGGAAAATTCAACTGCCAATCCTTCATCCCTTTAGACGAAATGTAGTGAATATATTTCTTGTTCAATATCTACTTTTAGTCTTAAAAATCCACTTAAAAACGAAAACAAAACTATTTTATTCTTCATTTGCATGCTTTGCGAGACCAAGTCTCTTATGACTTTTTTGGTAGTCTACGACCAAATGAAAACAATCTCTATAGTACTCTTTTTCGGTGTAGTGTTTAGTTTCAGTATATTGACGTGGAAACATTTTTTTTGATATATTTTGGCTCATGCTTTAATTCTAAAAAGTCCATCCGAGGATGAATTATTGGAATTGGCTACCAGGTGCGAATAGGTATAGCTGACTATGGAAAAAAGCATTAGAATGGTTCACTTTGGTGAATAGTCAATCATTCCATAAGCACTAAATTCATCTTTGAGCTAAAAGGATATTTGAGGATATTTAAGGAAATTTATTCATTTACGTATTATTTTATTTATTTATAATGTTTATCAAGGATAGTTATTATATTTAAAGACTGATAGTTGAATTTCCCACAATGAAATCAGCATCATGTCCCAGACTGCCATTTAATATCACTTAGACGCACATTTAAAAAGGCCTTTGCATGTGGAAGGGACTGCTGCTTCTACTAAGCTTCTGCCTTATCTTCATCCCATGTGGGATAATAGACCAGATTCTACGCTTTAAGCATAGGTGAAAATGTTAACGACTTGATGATGCTCAAGAGGCGAAATTATAGAAGAGGTACTTGATTTAGAGCTGAGTATGAGTTGAAATGCATTTATGGACACACACACACACTGGTACTAGAGGAGAAATAGGCCAGACGGGATGATCTAAACCTAGTCAGGATTCCAACTTGATCGAGCCTAAAGGTACTATGGCGTAATAGAATAATTTAAGAGCCACAGCGGTGGAGACAAAGACCTTCAGGTAGGGTATCTTTTTGTAAAGATCCACAGGAAAATTTTACCTTGAGCCTAGGAATAGATGCAAAATCTGTGCATCATCTTAGAATAGTAAAAACATTAAATAAGTACAGAATATAGGTATTTGTATGATGTCCAGAATGTCGATCTTAATTTGCTGTATTGGTCATGTTGGTTGATTTTATTGGGCCTGACATAGAGGGCTTAAAGGACAATATATTCTTTCCTATCCCCGTAGGGCGACCGCGACGTCTATGCCTACCTTACTAGCCTTCTAAACAGCAGGTCCAAGACAGAAAGTCTCCTTTTTTACGCCACCTCACCGGCATTCGCTTTTCGGTACCTCGCCAATGAATTAGGCATCTCGGCTACCTGCAAACGTCTTAACCAAATTCTTGCAGGCGACCAAAAACAGTTCATGGCTACTGCTCAGATGCTGGGCAGCGAGAAGGCGATGTCCAACTTTTTGTTCAATTATAACTCCACCCGGCAGATGGCTTGTGCCTGCGTAGAAAGCCTGTTTGATGGATTGAATCTGAAGAAGGAACATCTCAATCATTTGTTGGATTCTGAACTTGAAGGACATCCACTCATCGTCTGGCTATTATCAACGGCAGGGCCGAATATTCTCGAAGAGGTCTTGGTCTCTCAAGAGGCAGAAATCACGAAAAGACTGAACCAACTACGCGAAGCACTACGCGAATGCAACCTGATGCGATTAGGTCAAATAAATGTGTCTCCATTTCACTTTATCTATTTTGAGCATTCGAGCAGCGAAGAAATCAAGTAAGTCCCTATTTGGCCAGCCTGTTAAATCGTTTTTTATTACATAATTCCACTTTTTATGGGTGAAGAGTTCCTTTGAAATTGGCCATTTGCTCCACTTGATGAGGGCACTATTAGGTCCTGTTCC